GCCCAGGAATGAACAAGGACAGCTTGGAGGTTAGAAGCAAGATGGAGTCAGTTAAGTCAGATCTCTTTCACTGTCTCAGTCATAATTTTGCAAAGGCAGTTTCGATCCCTCCCTTTGAGTTTTACAACACCTTCATCTTAAGGAATAGGATATGAAGATGGAAAAGGTTGTCAATTGCGCTGGCTTCTTCTTGCTAACGGGACGTAGTGGGAATGGGAGTGAACCCCAAGGTGAGAAGTGTCAAACCGCTTTGCAACTCTCTGAGCGACTCATGCAGGCCTGGGTGGGCTTTTGTGGCAAAAACATTGGCACTCTCATCTATAGTTTTACTACAGGGTTTAACTGAAACAGCCTAGTATAAGGTAAATAACAAGTCCTAGGATGAGGAGTACAATTCACAATTTTAAAAGCAAAGATTTGAAAGCATTAGTTTGGGGACTTCTAACCCACAAAGAATTAAGAATTTAGTCTAAACTGCAGGAAAAAAACCTCAAGAACAGCTAACAACAATGTACTATAGTTTTTCTTTTGAAGCATAATTTTTCTCTCTCCAGTCCCCATTTTTATTAAAAACAAATCATGATAGAACTGATTTGTTTATAAAATAAACCTTAGTGTTACCGATCATTTGCATAATGTACAGCAAGAATCATTATTTTTCACTTAGGCTTTTTAAATCGGCTTTGATAGAACTCTGTTCCATGTAGAATCTCAGATAAGACTTTTCAGAAGCCAAGCCCAGCCATGGGTTTGTACCCTCAAATACCTATGAGTTGGGCAACTTCCTCTCCTCTTGAGGTCCCAAGATAACTTGGGGTTCCTGGGCCTGTTAGAAAGTGACATTCTTTACTTACCACAGGTCAGGAATTTTGTACAGGGACTCTGTGTGGACAAGGTATGAGGCCAAATGCCCCAACAGGCTTTAATTGGCTCTATAAGTCAACTTTGATTCTTTAAAGTATCCATTCCAGTCAAAGCCTTGGTAAAATAACCAATTTCTCCAATTGTGTCCTATTACAAAAGAAAACAGATTCTTATTGCACTTATGCAATTAGCTATACTGCCATAAATTGAGAATGTTCACAAATAGTTTCCAAATTCTGGAGAAATCAGGTAGAGAGGAGCAAATATGCTCCAAATTTTGTTCACAGGAGTATATTTTACTCACTTGTTAAAAGTTGCAAATAGCTCTAAAGAAATGAGTTCTCCTGACTCTGAAAACAAAAAGTTTAGCAATGTTTAACACATTAGCTCTCCATGAGAGTCCTGGAAGTTTGGTTTTTTCCTCTATTCCAATAGCATGATTTTTAAAGTTAGCAAAGTTATCTGAGACCTGCACTTAAGAGTCCTATATTTGATTATAAACTTCGTTTTGAAAAGGACCAAAGCAAGACAAAATGTCTGTGGATGACAAAAGTCTACAGCCACTGTTAAAGCCACAATTGACTAGGAATTTTGGTTACTTGTGGCATACAATTTTTTTTTTTTGAGATGGAGTCTCACTCTGTTGCCCAGACTGGAGCGCAGTGGCACAATCTTGGCTCACTGCAAGCTCTGCCTCCCAGGTTCACGCCATTCTCCTGCCTCAGCCTCCCAAGTAGCTGGGACTACAGGCACCAGCCACCATGCCTGGCTAATTTTTTTGTATTTTTATTAGAGACGGGGTTTCATCACGTTAGCCAGGATGGTCTTGATCTCCTAACCTCGTGATATGCCCGCCTTGGCCTTCCAAAGTGCTGAGATTATAGGCATGAGCTACCATGCTCAGCACAATTTTTTTTTTTTTTTTTTTTTTTTTTTTTTTTTTTTTGAGACAGAGTCTTGCTCTTGTTGCCCAGGCTGGAGTGCAATGGCACGATCTTGGCTCACTGCAACCTCCGCCTCCTGGGGTCAGGTGATTCTCCTGCCTCAGCCTCCTGAGTAGTTGGGATTACAGGTATGCACCACCAGGCCCGGCTAATTTTGTATTTTTAGTAGAGATGGGGTTTCTCCATGTTGGCGTTGGTCAGGCTGGTCTCGAACTCCCAACCTCAGGTGATCCACCTGCCTCAGCCTCACAAGTGCTGGGATTACAGGCATGAGCCACAACACCTGGCCACTTGTGGCATACAATTTTATATGATAATTATAATTATTAATAATGTGCACTAAATTATATCAACATTATAGAAGTTTCCCATAATTTTGGAATACATACTAATAACATATTTACACAAACACAGTCCAAAGTGAACCAAAGACCATTCACTCTTCTATTTGAAAGTTTTTCCTCTATTCTAATGTCACAATCTCCAGAGTTATTAATCAGAATCCTAAATGTAAGAGCACCTGTTAAATTTTATAGCTGATTATAAAACCATCTTTTAAAGAGGACCAAAACAAGACAACAATTATCTGTGAGTGACAAAAACATTTTAGGGCAGCGACAGTTAAAGACATGATTGACAAGGAAATTTGTTACCTCTGCAGCATACAGCCTGTTAACATAATAATTATAATTATTACTGATAACATATACTAAGTCATATTAGAATTATAGGAATTTGACATAATTTCAGAACACATACCAATAACACATTAACACAAATATAGACCAAAGAAAGCCAAATACCATTTCATATTGGACAATGCTTCCTGTATGATTTTTGTAACAAATAAGCCAAATGTCAATTCTGGACTTTAGAGGACCTAATGTCTAAAATATTAGGTTAGAAAGAGACATAATTTATAATTTGATTTTGGAAAGTTTGTCAAATATCAAATGTTTAAAACACTGGATATCACAAAATAGACTCCCAGATCACCATAAAGTCATTCATTTGGCCAAAATGATAACTCCAAAAAAATTTTTTAAAAAGAAAAACCTTTACTCTGATAGAAGAGACTTAGCTTTCCAACAAGACCCAACGAAGATAGCATGAGGCCAACTGAATTTGTCTCTTCTCTCTCTCCTCTTTTTTTTCCTCTGCCATTAACCCAAAGGAGAAAACAAAACCCTTTCATTATCTTTTAACATTACATAAAAATCATCTTCAAAAGAGAAAACCAAATTTCATGTTTGCATTAGTGCATCTTTAATGTTAAAGTTAGTTTTTTAAATACTATTTTATATTTCTATCCAGTTTTAATTAGTTTGACCATAAGGTAAGATTTTCATCAACTTTTTAGAACTCTTTATAATTTTCCATCAAACAGCAGATCAATTTTCTAAGAAAACCCTGTTATTCCGACAAATGGGTCCAGATTCTGGCCCCACATCAGTATGATTTTAATGTTTTAACCTACGGAAAAAAGCTAAACAATTTCTTTTAAATCTTAGCCAACTTGTTTATACCCACAGAATTTTTACAAGATCAACACTTTTCAAGCCTTTTTCACTTTGCTTAAACCTTCTGTTTTGTTCCATTACTCTTTTAGGTTAAGACAATCTTTAAAACCCTCTGGGCTGGGCTCAGTGGCTCATGCCTCTAATTCCAGCAGTTCGGGAGGCCAAGGCGGGCGGATCACCTGAGGTCAGTAGTTTGAGACCAGCCTGACCAATATGGTGAAATCCCATCTCTACTAAAAATACAAAAACATTACCCAGGTGTGGTGGCATGCGCTTATAGTCCCAGATACTGGGGAGGCTGAGACAGGAGAATTGCTTGAACCTGGGAGGTGGAGGTTGCAGTGAGCTGAGATCGTGCCCAGCGTGGGCAACAACGAGACTCTACCTCAAAAGTAAATAAATAAAATAAAACCCTCTGAACTAGACAAAACTACATTCCCTTTAACAAAAGCCATATTTCCATGCCTTCTTATAATCTTTTACCAAAAACACATTCCCTACACACCTTGTATATAAAACCATTTCTCTAGTGGTCTCAACTACATGTTACAATGTTAACTCATAGCAACTTTAATTTTTAGTGAAAACCCTGATAAGTAAGCAATTTTAATTATGTACCGGGGTAGAGCCTAGGACATCAGACAGAAATGAAGATAAGGTCTGAATCCTTTTAGTATAGTTAGTGACCATGGCTCTCCATATGTCCACAGGCCTTATCTATAATCTAATGCTCCAAAGTAGGTAAATCGAATAATTTTCAAAAGTCAAAGAAATAGTTTGACCTTAAAGTATCTAGCAAATCTGATATCTGACCTTAATTTAGACCAAGCGTCTACATTTTTGAGACATTCTATTTTACCAATAATCTTTAAAACTGTCTTTATTTCCAAAAGAGTACTAAAGTCACGTGAATGAAGACATTAAAGTTTCTGTTTTTCTGACAAAATATTTAAGTGCTTATTTTTCTAAGCCAATTAATCAGAGCTCTTTTATATATAAACATACAACACATATAAATACACAAACAGACAGAAGATTCAGCACTTGTAAGATTTTTCATTTGCCAGTTTCTTAACTGGATGACTGGCTTCAGGGTGGAGCCTGTGGAGGAAGAGGGCCAGGAAAGCATGCGTTTCCAGGGCCAAATAAGCAGCAAATAAGCAGCTGAAGGCAAAGACAGATCCCCAAAATTAAGGGTGCCATTTTATACTGGTTCCTGAACTCTCAAAGGGAGGGAAATACTATGGGAGAAGACAGTGCAGTGCTTCCACCCTGCATTTCATTTTGCAAGGCAGCCTAAAGCCAATCAGCCCATTTTGCAATCAGCCCTCCCTCATGGGAGTCTCATCTCCATTGTAGGGGCTGGGGATGTTCCCTTCTCTTCCAGGTGTCCACGAACATGCTTCTCTGATCCAAGCGTGCAGAGTCAAGTATCCCTCCATAACTGCTATTAGCCATCCCTTAAAGTATACTTCCTACCTAGTTATTACACACCAAAGCTCTCTCATAGTGAGAAGTAATTTCTGGTACCCCCAAAACTCAAAACTGTCGACAACACAGTGCAGAACAGACCAGAGCCTTTGGTTTTGAGAGGGAGCCATCCATTTTTAACTCCTGGTGTTTCATGAGGAAAACAGACGTTTTGTTTTTGCTTTTGTTTTTCCCAAAACAGGGTCTGTGGTGCCTCCTCTGTTTTTCCCAAGGAGTCCCAGGCTACCAGAAGTTATCTGAGGGCCTCTCACGTGTGCATTAAGAGTGGCAAGACAAAACAAATGAAGAAAAATATTTCAGCCGACTGAGAAGAAAAAATTTTTCCACAAAAACAAGTTCCAAGAAGAGAAACACATAAAGGCCTTTTAAATACATTTAGAGCTTGTTTATCCACTTTTAATTAAGCTGACTTTTAACCATAGTGCTCTTTAAAAAAGAAATCCTTTCAAAACTCTTAGTACCCAACGTTAGCCATGACAAGTGGCCAATATTTCTACCTTCTGAACTTTACCAAAGGTAACCTCCTAGGTGCTTCAAAGACATGGTAAGCAGTTTCTTTCTTTTCTTTTCTTTTTTTTTTTTTTTTTTTTTTTTTACAAGATTTAGAATCTCCACAAGGTAGTTCAGAGAAAGGAAAATTCAAGACAGGAAATCAGAAGCTATTTATAAAAGAAAAAAATCTCAGTAAATGGCAAAGTTACACAAATAACAAACCAGAAAGGAATCACTCCAGAAGCCAATAATTGAACCCAGGCCACCACTGTCAAAAGATAAAGGCTTAGCTACTGAGCTATACAGCATTGAGAAGCTTCTGTTGCTTTTCCCAGAAGGAGCATAGAGAAGCCAATTTCAAGCTTGCAAGGCTTTTAACTGTTCAGGGAAAACTTTTAGGACTATGACATGAACCCCAAAATTCCTGTGCTCTGGCTGGTGGAAACGAAAAAAAGTATCCACACATGGTCACAAGGTTAAGCTCTTAAGGACACAAAACAAGACAGAGAAATTTCATAGAGTATTCGTTTCAGGGACCCGTAGCAAAATGTGTAACTGACCAGCCTGCCAAGCTGACTTGAAAAGCAGGCTTATAGGGGTCCTAAACCCACATTCTATCCTGTGGCAGCCCTCTCTCCATTACAGAACACAGAAAGACAAATTCTTTGCACAAAGTACACCAGATGTGCTACAGCCTAAGACTAGTCTCACAAGTCCTTTTTTCTATTAATCAAACCCTTGCAGAGGAGACAAATAGTTCACTGTTTATCCAGACAAAGAGAAAGAGACAAGAAACTTGGCTGGTAAGAATTTCTTACCCTTTTTGTTGGGATACCAGGTTTCTGGGTTCCCTTTCTCTGCAGCTTCCAGAAGAATGAAGCAGCTTCTGGTGACCCTGCTTTCTTGTGCTATAGCTGTGGGGTTTAAGTCACTTACAAGAGAAAATCACCCTTTCCTGCTTTATGGAACCAAAGACAAGATTCTCAGTTTGCAAGATGCTGCCCAATGGGCTACATGGGGAACCGAATTAACATTTTCCATCCCAGCAAAATACACATAACAAAACAGACATTAGTCACTTCGTGCAGCACCCAATATCAGCCTAGCAAAGGTCAAAATTTTTCCATTGGTCCCTGTTGTCTTTGACCCACTCCAGGTGGGGATGGATGACCTCTGAACGGTAATTCACAATGGGGTCTCTGAGCAAGGGGAAGACCAGACAGTTACCCCGAGAGGCCTGTTGAGCCTTCTTTAGAGCTCATTGAATGTGACCAGACAAATAAGGAGGGTTCTCTGAGTTAGGCCTGCTGGACTTTCATTAGCAACCCCTCTGAGATGCTTTCTACATATACAAACACACACAAAAATGAGATGGACAGATGGCCTTCCAAATCAGATCCCTAACCTAGAACTCCAAGAGTGTCCCTTCCAAACTATTCTCCTATTCTCTGAGAAACCTCCTCGAAATCTTCCTGATTGAAGAGAAGTCTCTCAAACCAGGACTCTTCCTACTGATTAGAAAGAACCAACCAAGACCCGCCCAGGAGCCAAACACACACCCCGCAATGGAGCTACAGACACCCCACCATAGGGCTACAGAACCAGTCAGGAGAAGGAAGAAGGTGTTGGCAGCACCTAGGATACTCACCAGACATCCCACACTGGGGATACAATAGACACCCTGTGATAGGGCTACAGTTAAGGGATGTCTCCCTGGGACTATTTCTCCATTGTAATTAAATCCATGCACATTGGGTTGGCAGCACCCTGCCAGTACAGAGTACTGGAGTTAGCCCCCAGTTCAAGAGAACTAGGTGACTGCTTGGGCTGGCTTCTGGATCCATCATTGGAGTGGGGCTACCTGTCCATGGTTCACTGGCCCCCCTCCAGCGATGAATCCCGGATGAGCCCCCAAATTTGTAACTGCCAAAAGGGTTCACATTGCCACTGCCTAGACAGCCAATTCATCAGACAGGGGAATTACAATAGAGAAAGAGTAATTCATGCAGAGCCGGCTGTGCGAGAGACCAGAGTTTTATTATTACTCAAATCAGTCTCTGATTCATAGTTTTCGAGGGAATTTCCTTCACTGGCTTTGCTTCCTAGTTGCACTATAATAAATATGATTTGGAGTAATCCATCTGCCAACACTCCCTCAACCAAATCTTCCCTGCCCCACACACACAGTGTTTCACCCAGGAAGATCTAGTTCTGTGTGTGTCTGAAGGGGGCAGGAGGGGGGATCTAGGCCTTCCTTCTCCCTCATGTGAGTGGCCATAAGCAAGAGAAGAATCTGTGTCTTGCCCTTAACATGGCCAATGTCTGCTCCACATATGGGCCCAGAGACCACACTATTAGCACTTCTGGGAAGCTGATAAGGACATCTGCAATGGAGGTCTTTCATCCTGAGGCAAGGGTACCAGTTCTGCCAGCATTTTGTATTATTTGAAAACAGTGCTGGGAATCATATTTGCAGATCCACAAATGCTATTTGATTATTCCATGGCATGAAAGATGAATTTGAAGTTTAGTGGAGAGGGCAGACTGAAGACTGAGGAAACACAGTTTGTAAGGGCAAAATACGCTAAGTTTGAGCAAAAATACATTCTACTTGTAGCCAGCACTCTGAGAACACTGGGAAGAGTAGGTAGAGCTGGGACCAACATTCAAAGATAATGCCCCAACTGTATTTTATCCTCATTTTTACCTGCTGGCCAGCGACTTCTCATAATTACCTTGGCTACACAGCCCTTGTTTGCATCTCCAGAGAGACAGTGGTGTCTGAAGAAAGAAGATGATTCAGGAGACAAATGACTCAAGTCTGGAAGGAATCTCAAGAAGGAAATGTACAATAGTGAAAAGTGCGACCTCTTGACTCAGATTTCATCTCCAATCCTTGTTCTGTCATGGTCTATCTGTGAGACCCTTATAGCATCTGAGTCTGTTTGCCTCATGCAAAATGGAACAGATGATATCTTCTAAGACAGTTATAAAAATCACTAGGCCAGGCGCGGTGGCTCACGCCTGTAATCCCAACACTTTGGGAGGCCGAGGCAAGCAGATCATGAGGTCAGGAGATCGAGACCATCCTGGCTAACACAGTGAAACCCCGTCTCTACTAAAAATGCAAAAAATTAGCCGGGTGTGGCAGGAGGCTGAGGCAGGAGAATGGAGGGAATCCGGGAAGCAGAGCTTGCAGTGAGCCGAGATCGCGCCATTGCACTCTAGCCTGGGCGACTAAGCGAGACTCCATCTCAAAAAAAAAAAAAAAAAAAAATCATTAAAACATGTAAAGCATAAAAAGCTGGCTCATCTTAGGTATTAAAAAAATAATTGGTAACACTACTATCATTAGTGTCTGTCAAATAGAGGTATTTGCAATGTGCTTGTGAAAAGGAGAAAAAGAATGCCTTTGGCCTTTAGTAGATATTTAGTCAATGGTCCCGTTAGTCCTGTCTTTACCATGCACCACTACATGTTTGACCTTGAGCAAAGCCACCTCTGTCATTGGTAAGACAGGGAGAATTTCTACTCTATCTCACTCCCGTAACAACTGCAGTGGTGACTGGAGATAATTACACACACCTCACTTGTTTTTTGGAGTTGTGATGACCAAAATTGAAGGCTAGGAATGGGGAACAATGTACTAGAATGAAACACACTGGATTTTGGGGCAACAGACTCGGGTTATAGTCTTGGTACTGCATTTTACCAACCAAAAGGCCTTAGGCAAATCACCCAGTAATCTGACCTCTCATCCCTGTGAGAAAATACAAATGTGAGAAACTATCATTATTGCTCCTAGAGGGCAAAGCCAGTCTTCTTTTTTTTTTTTTTTTTTTGAGACGGAGGTCTTGCTCTGTTGCCCAGGCTGGAGTGCAGTGGCACGATATCGGCTCACTGCAACCTCCACCTCCTGGGTTCAAGAGATTCTCCTGCTTCAGCCTCCTGAGTAGCTGGGATTACAGGCGTGCGCCACCACACCCAGCTAATTTTTGTATTTTTAATAGAGACAGGGTTTCACTATGCTGGCCAGGCTGGTCTCGAACTCCTGACCTCGTGATCCACCCACCTCAGCCTCCCAAAGTGCTGGGATTACACGCGTGAGCCACCACGCCCAGCCAAGTCTTCTCATTTTAATAGTTCTGGTACCCATCAATGTTGTTAGCACCGAGTGGGCACTCAATATTTACATTTAATGAATTATAAACTATTCAGAAGTTGTATTTTTAACCATTACCAACTTTTTTGCCCATAAGCTGGTAGCTTTTGTCCCAATCTGATTTGGTGGATCCCTATGTTCCAAAGTAGTTTGTATTCCATGCCAACCTTAACATCCTCAGAGATGTTACTTGGACACAAATGGAAGAAAAAACTGACAAGAGAAAAGAAAGCAGCTCTTCTGTTTATGGCAGTTGCAGGGGAACAGTTTCACTATCTGCCCGCCCTGCCCCCCACCCTCTGGTTTGGGAATCACTTCTCTAAATTACCTATTATTCTAAGTACCTTTTCTATGGGATTTATCCTCACAGAAGGTGGTGGGCATTGAAGAAGCCAGAGCTGCTTACGGATGACTCTCCACGGATAATATGAAGGGGAGGGATGCCTTACAAGTCTCCTCCAAATGGGAGGTGGCAGGTGGAAAGCAGTAGGTTGAAACATGGAAGGGAGAACTGGGCTTCCTGGTGCCAGAGGAGAAATCTTGAAGTGGAAATTCTTGGTAGTAGTAGATTTATGTACCCTTCGTTCACACTACATAATATTCCAGAAGTATTACCTTATTTGATCTCTGAGGGCTTTGGTAGAAGAGGGAACCCTGTAGAAGTTGAAAAGGAGACAGAAAGGGTCAAAATTTTAACAATCACCATCTTTGTGCACTGTTAACA